CAATTATATCTGGGACAACTAACTCAGAGTTTGGGACAGATAGCTAAGTACTCAGAAGATACTTCTAAAGGGCACCAACTCAGAAAGAGACTTTGGAAAATGTAAAATGAAAATGTCTTTTGTATGACTCTTTACACAGGGCGAGAAAATCCACATCTTACAAGGAAAAGAGGAAAAGAACCAATGAACTCAAGCAAGCAAGCCAGTCAAAGTCGATGTTACATGAAGGAATGAGCTCAAGCCAACAAGTGCCAGAACTAACGATGATCCAACTTCAAGATTCCCAAGATCCATGTCTCAATCTTTTGATTCTCTTGAATCTAACAATCTTGAAAAACTTGAACGACAGCTTGAAGAAGAAAAGGAAATGGAGAGAAAAGAAAATATGTCGTGGTGGAAAACACTAGGATTACCATCAGACTCTAAAGACTCAGATGAATTAGCCATAACAGCAAATCTATGCACTCCATAATTTGTAAAAGATCATCTCAGATCAAAGTATTTTATCGTTTTGCATGAGTAAACTGTCGTTTTGCAAAATAATTGATAAAGCATTGTTTGCTTTATTAAAGTAGGATCTACTTCGGTCAAAAGTTGTGTGTCCACTTGTTTAATAATTGTACTACTATCTTGCATGTGTTAAATGTCGTGGACATGCATTAAATGTTGTGTACTCAAATCATGTGTCATGTTTATTCGATTGAATTATTGTACTATTGAAGGAGACTCTCTTCCTATAAAAGAAGACTCTCCTCCTTTGTTGTGGATCATCGAAACGTTTCAGAAAATAAATCCTTGAGTTCCTTTAGATCACGAGTTTCTAATTTCTCTCTATTTCTCATTGGAATCCGAAGTACTAATATTAGTTTTAACAGCCATGTTAAATCAAAAATTTGAGCAATAACAAAAATATGCTCTGTTATTGCCTCTCTTGAGGATTTTTTAGTATCAAAAATTGTGTTGCAGACTAAACGATCCACCGGGGAGATTTGCAATCCTAAGAGTCAGGCCATGTATTTGTATGCTTCAGATCTGGCTGTTTGTTATGGGCTAAAATAGCTGGATTGCATATCTCATCTAGTTGGTATATGTAAATTTTGTTTGACACGTGTCAAAGCTAGCAATTTTTACAAATATATCTATTTAGGTGGTGGCCCTTGCATCTTATTAACATAATGATTTAAGTCAATTAGGTGGCGGAGTTGGTGGAATTGACCTATTTGATTTATTTCTGTTCAATATGGTCCTGAATAGTACCCATTCAATTATGGAATATCTATAGATTAAATAGTATTAAAAAATTTAAGAAAAGTCTCATGGATTGTTGTTTTATATTGCTTGAATATTATATACTGGATATGCCTTTTGATATTTTTGAAGAGTAATCCCAAGAATGTTGAAATTCCATTCTACCAGAAATATCTATTAAGAAAATTGAACAAATTTTAGGCAAAAGAGTATCTTGATCCGATACTAGCTAATATGTTACATTATCTTAGATTAGAAGTAAATTTTTTTATATGTACTGTTAGTTTCATTAGATAGTTTTCTTGCTCAAGTAGACAATTTAATTCGATTTTGATCATTATTTTCATATTCGTGACCGTACGAAACTTCTGCTAATAAAGCATAAGAAGGGTTTTCGTTTGATGGAATCCCATCCTTCCTTATAAGCCTAAAGGGATATACTTCTGGATGTGGAGAGGTTAAAAACATAAAGTAATCTAACTGTATCCTCTCATTTGGGTTTAATTTCTTTGAACCTCTGCAGCAAATTACAAGGATGTTGGTTGCCTTTCACTTGCACTACATAAAATTTTGAAAGAAGTTCTATTCCTTTGGGTAAGGTATTAGGAAGTTGGTTAATTCTAAAATTTAGGATCAAATTTTGGTCCATTTAAGAAGTTGGCTAGAAGTGACAAATATTAAAAAGGAAGCTAGGGCTGAGCCCAGTGCAGCCTCCCACCATATCTGCCCATGGAACATAAACGACATCTTTCAATGTCCATCATTTTGATATTTGTATTAATTCTTTTAATATGTGAAAATCTATTATGAGGGTGTTTGACACCCATTTTTAAGGAAAAATGCACAAACGAGACCTATATTTTGCACACACACAATTGCACATAATTTTTATTTTAGTTTATGCTTCTCTAATTCTCACAACCTGAATTAAAGATTTTTTGCATACACAAGAATTTTTCATACCAACATGCTTAATCTTAAGATGCCGCTGAAAAGGGGACATACACTATACCACAAACATTACATTGAAATAAAACTAATATTAATACTGATTTTATTGAAAGAGCACAAAACACAATTAAGTTAACATTCTTCTTTATATGATAAACATAGCTTCAAGTAAATAGATTTTGTAAATTTGTGTTATTGGGAAAGAAATAGAGTGAATGAATAAGTGATGTGGATCGAATGAATATATCTTTACAAGAGTATATATTTCCTCAAGATTCAATGGTGATGGATGTATTCCTTTGAAACTTAATTTAGTGACGATAAATATTTGTCTGCATAACTTTAAAAGAATTATTGGGGCATTTTTAAGAATGTCCAATTTTAAAGGTATGAGTTGAAAATTGTCTATTCATTTGAATTTAGTGTCAACTTGTCTATCATGCCCTTAATGAAAAGCTACATTTTGAAATGGTATTCTCGATATTTGATTTTTTTTTTTATAAATTTGTCACGAATTTTGAGAAGTGACTTCCATGAGAAGTTACATTAAAATAATGTTTATCGACATTTCATATGTCGTTCTCGACATTTGAATACCGTTTCATTTGTCTAGAATGACATTTCATTTTGAACATGACATTTCTCCACATTTAAAAATATCGTTCTCGACATTTCTGAATCAATGAAAAACATAGCATTTATTGTGATTTGACATGTATACTTTTTGAAATAAATATGGCAGGTTATGTGTCAAAATTTTATTAGCCAATAACAATATTGCAAAAATGTCCATTTTTTGTCTTAGTGTGGAATTATAAATTGTTAATAAGGATATTTTGGTTTAAATTCTTCCAAATTAGGCATTTTTTTACAAATAACAAGATAAAAATGGATATTTTGTGAAATTTCCTCAGAATTATTTTTTGTACATTATCCTACTTGGACTTGAACACGATTTCATTTTTTTGTTTTTTTTTTTTTTTATCTATTTATAATATTACTGAGTCTATAATGTTAATATTTATACTAATTATCATAATTTGAAAAGACGCTTAATTTTTTTTATTTTTTTTTTTTCATCCAAGGTTCTCAAGTTGCTTGAGCCATCTCCACCTTTTTAAAATTTTCATTCTTCAATCTTACTTTCGCTAAATTCTTTTTCTAATCATGTAATTATCAACTATTACAAAACTCGATATAGGAAAAGTACTTGCTTTGTGGATCTGGATATGACCTTTTTCTCTACTTTTGTCTATAGGTGTAACTTAGAAGGAGTTTGCTACAGCAACAACAGTCATGATAGAACACACACATGATAAGGAGGTCGGTATTTTTTTATTAATACGAGACCCACAACAATATGATAGGCGATCATCCCTTAGGTCAAGCATTTTCTGACAGTTCAGTGAAATTCAATTTAGAATCGGTATTTTTGTTACTTCATAAATAGAAATAGGGTTGGATCAAAAGCTACCTTATAAAAAAGTAGATTTTTTTCAAGATTTTGTTTTGAGATCTTGTACGTGGTTCCCATGTCCATTTACTGCCAATGGCCCACGCAATCATAAAATTAATGTTTATTATTTTTTTTCAATAGGAGGTGGGTTTTTGTTAGGTGGTATTGGTGTGGGTATTAATCCATTCTTGTTCCCCGCACACATGCAACAATTTCATCGCAAAACCAAGCGCCTGTTTGGTCCCACTTCAAAGCAAATTAAAATCAATTTTTGAACCGTTGCTTTGTCTTTTACCCTTTGAAAAATTCAAAGTGATGGCTCTTCTCAAACTTTCCACAGACGCATGTCAGGGACTTTTTCTCATTTTTGCCTTTCAATTGATTAGCACACTGCAAAAGTGGGAGGCATGTGAGAACAAAATGCACAAACACACATAATACTTTCCATAGAATGATCAATTGGACCCGATGACTCGATAGGAAAATCAATTCTCTATTTTTGCAGGTAGCCTCCAAGTGTACATAATGTTACATCAATTTCTAGTCATAGTTTCAAGTAGATCATGTGCTCGGTGTTAATAAATAAAATCTCACAACGAATACTAATAAAAATATAGACAAATTTATAAGAATTTGAACTACTCCTCTGAAAAAGATTAACATTTTAAGATAGAACCTCAAATTTTTAATATGATATCAAATCCCATTAAGTTCCAATGAACAATTCGATCCAATTAAAACTCGAAAAAATGAACACACGAATTTTCAGATTAGTCTGCTCAAACGAACTATCATCTTACGGGACATATTAAGAGATAAAATTTTACATCGAATAACGATGAGAATGTAGATTGATTTATAAGGATTTGTGCTACTCCTATTAACAAATTCTTCTTCTTCCCTTGTATTTGCAAACAATCAGTATTATCCATGTTTGGTATAGATTAAAATTTAATTTAATTTAAATCAGAGTAAATATTTAATTTTAACCAAATATTTTATGAGATCAATAACTTTTCGACCATATATTTTATCAACTTTTTATTAACATTTACTAAAAATTTAATTTTTAATTCCCACCAAATATAGGCATAATTTCATTGATCAAATAATATGCTTTTATTTAGTCAAAAATATAACTTTAAAAGATCATATTTTTAACCGAAATGACACTTTGAGCATTATCAAGTAGAATTTTTCCCGTGTGAATCCGGCTAGATAAATCACAAAGCGTGGGCCCCACCTAAATAAAAATTGGCAAAAAATTAACCTCCCCCTATTATGAGATGTCGATAGGGGTTCACAACCCCAACATGTACACCTAGCAGGTCTCTATCGAGTATCATTTCAGTGGTCCCTCCTTTGCACAAAATATCCAAAGGGCACATTATTAAGAAACATATTACAACCCTCACTTACATCGTAGAGGAGGGAACAAAACGAAAAAGCCCATCAAAGCTGAAACGACTCTTACATAATAGAAAGCATATATGAATCATGATTATCAATCACATGTTTCTTCTCATCCGACGAACAAGAGTTCCTCACCGCTGTGAGCTCATAAGGTTTTGTATCCATAGCCAACCATTGCTCGATCGTGAATAGTTTTTGGGCACATTGCTGGTGGGCCCCAGTCGTCGTCACCTCCACGTAGTTACAATACCACCCGTGGTGCGGGCCGGTCCCGTCAGAAGTCAAGTTCATTGCACAAACGGGCCCGGTCAAACATGGGCCCCTCCCACTAAAGATGTCCAAATTCCCTCTCTCAAAATAGTTGTAGCCCGGGCCCATAAGCCCACCCCATGCCTCGAGATTTTTTATCCGGATCCCATGTCCATTCGCATCATAGAGAGTCAAGGTAATATTGGAATCAGTCTCGGCTTTTATGATTGATCCGGTCCTCACGAACACCGTGTACACACAATCAGCATCATCCTACATTTTTCACAAATCAAATTCCGATAAGAAAATTACCTTTTTGTTTGATACACAACACTCAATAAATCTAAACTTGTTATACTATTCAAATTCCGTAAGATAAACGATTATATATGCAATTTGAAATATTTTAGTACTGAACACGTCTAGATAGTATAATAACAAAACATTTTTCTTATTCAAAACGCGTATAAAATATATCAAGATTTTATATATTGCTCAAGAAATATGAACGTGCAGTTCATCTAAGGACAATACTTACAGATCTACAGATGGTGAAGATGGAGAGGAGAATGAAGAGAGAGAGGCAAATGTGGATGAACTTCATGGCTGTTGATCATGAAATGTGAGGTGGTGTGCGTGTGTATATATAGAGTCACATGATCTGGGAGCTGGATTTGGTCTTCTTTTTATAATACTTTATAAATAGAAGGGAAAATAGTAGTAAAGTCCCCAACTTTTATCGCATGTTGTACTTCAGTCCTTGACCTTTGGAAAGCAGCAGTTATTTTACCAACCTTACCGTCCCAGTGCTACTAATATGAAAGATCGAGGACATGATTGCTCTTTTTTAAAGATTGATAATCAATACTATTTAAAATAATATTTAGGAGTGTTTGATTCCCATTTTTCTCTCTCTCTTTTTTCAACCACATATTCTTTATTAAAATAATATTACACACAATCAAAGATTTTTTTCTTATTTTTTATTCACACATTATATATCAATCTACTATTTTAAAGTACATTTAAAAAAAGAATGGGGCTCAAATTAGATGGAATATATGTAGCGTTCTCTTTTTCTGTTTAAACTTTTAAATCAAGCAATTCAACGTGATAACATAGCTTATAAATGTCTTGAAATCAAGTTTTGCCATTATTCACTTATTGACTATTGAAATTGTCTACGGAAGATGAAAAAAATGGAAAAAAAAAAAATCTCGAGTACACGTGAGAGGCACAATAAAATTATTTTTTTAAATAATATACATACAATACATTTTATTAGTTCAATAAAGATAAAATACATTTCAAAGGTTTGGAACCTCGATAGAGGAAGCAGATTTGATCAAAATGTACTAAGGGGGTGCACTCATCATCACATTTTATTAAAAAAATGGATATTGCTTTATATATACATTTTTTATATATTGTGGATTTTGTTCATTTCATATGCTCATCATTTTCATGATGGTAACAATATGATGCATGTCCAGAGCTTTTGGGGCTGAATAATTGAATAAAGTTTCCTCTTTTGCTTTTTAAAATTATTTCACTTTTTTTTTAATATATTTTTCAAAGAAATCTTTCAATGGGTTAGGTGGGGTGTTTGTTTAGGTTTCATTCTTCCTCATTCAATTTCGTGCAACTTTTTTTAAACGAGCCTACACCGCCAAATATGTGGAAAAAAAAATTATCCTTGTGTGTGTCATTATGTGATGGGTCATGGGTCACTCGATGTTTGTGGCGTGACAAATATTAGAAAGAAGAAATGCTCATTAATTAAAAGGTAACTTTATTCCATTAAACAAATTATCGTTATTATGTTCGTTGTGTCTTAATGGGTCCTACTCAATTATGTTATGTCTTGTTTCGTTTGCAAGGTTGAAATCCATTTCGGACTTTAACAGGAGTATCCTCAATTGATATTTAATGAATTTCGTGAATTCGAATAAATTTCACAAAATTTGTAAGAATTTTTGAAAATGGGGAAAATTCAAAAGAGTTTGTTATGTGCATTTATAAGTTTGAAATCCCTTATTAATGAAATATTTATAAATCTACGAGTTATTGAGGAAAGATCTCAACTGTGGACACTTGAATTTAAAAAAAATTTAAAAATTCATTAAAATCTCAGTTGGTGACACCTAAATTTTAATGAATTTTAATTCAATTGGAGATACTGAATTTAGAAAGACTTTGAAAATTTATTAAAATCGCAGTTGAGAATACCTACGTAAATGAATGCATGATTTCGTCATCTTAGAGATGACAGATGAAAAAATTTGACGTAATATTTTTCGATTATTCCACCTTTACCTCCTTCATCCTCTTCCCAACAATGAAATGATCGAAAGAATCAATGTTCGTGAATTTCTACTGCAGCCTTCACATCTCTTGTCTAGACACGATAAGAGCAAACGAGTCCCGCCTATTTGCTTACTCGTCTTTCGCGCAGCAATAGAATCACTCCCAAAAAAGTCGATAAATAAATAATATATAAATATAGAAATTTGATAATTTTGTCAATTTACATCACTCCTTGGGTCATTCAACATTTATTTCGCATGGCAGATAAGATTGCTTAGTTGTCCTGAAATGCAATAAATTGCCCTCACGTGCATGAGTGGGTAGGTACAAAGTATGGATTATTCCATATGTACGAAAAAGTTTAATTTTTACCTGCCAATGATGAATGTCACCCGATCATTATATATATCAAAATGTAAATCCTGATGTACTTATAGCATAACTCACAAAATATATAAATTTGCTAATCAAGATTGAGGCATGAAAATGTATAAATTCTATTATTAATTAATAAGTAATTGAACTTTTAAATAATTCATCGTAAATATAATGTTTTCCAAGTTTCATGCGAGAGAACTCTCTAGGTAATTTGACTATGAATCATTCTTTTGAACCATCGTTTGTTTCTTGTAAACAAATGATCTAACATGAATAACGTCAAACTGACAAGACCCCTTCATACATTTAACAAGACTCGGTTTTTCCTCCTTCAAATCAACTTATATTGTAATTGCGAAATCAGTGCAATCGAAACTTGTTTTAAATAATTTTTAAAAATATTAAAAAATAAATAAATCTAGCCTAATTAGGACCTCAATATAATTGTCTTATTTTTTAATATATATACTTATTATATCCATTAACATTCATGAGTGATTAGTGTGATTTACATGTTTATCGAAGTCCAAAAGCGATGTTTAATTTGGATTAATTGAACAAATTTTTACTAACATGGCATTGTATCGATTCAAGGAATGGACTTTCTTTTTGTCCCCGTCCTCGTTCTCATCCTGAATTAGTTAGAGAATTTTTTTAAATGCATACTATTTTGTTTATATGACACAATTTCTGAACAATTCATAATTGCTGGGGGACTAGCTGGTAGGATAAGTTGATTTTTCTTTTGTTTTTTATATTTTCAAATTTAAGTTATTTTATTTTATTTATTTAAATAAAGGAGGGGCATTTTAATCTTTATATTGAAAATTTGATATTTTTAACGGTTAATTTGACGGAATCATCCATAAGGACCGATTGCCCAAATAAAGTGGAAGTATAATGATTTTTTTGCCTAGTTTTAAAGGTAAAGGTTCATGTTGAATAATCGACCTCCAATGGTGGATTTTTCAGGCCCAGTTTAACCAATCTCTATCTTATTAAACACACCCAACAAAGGCTCCAACCCAAACAATCAGTCAATCACGATTCTTACTTCGATTGCTCAAGTCAATGTGTTCACAAAGAACACAATATGGTGGATGCAATGAATCACCAAGAATAGAGGAAGACAAATTCGGTTTAAGGTTCAAGAGAGAAAACTAGAGAAAAATGTCGGCTCCTATTTTCAATTGCAAAACACACACTGCTCCTTCACAAATGAGAGCAATATATAGGTTTAGGGTTAATAATATAATGAGCTCATGGACCAACTAATGGTTAAACAGGGGGAACACAAATTGAGCCATCCAAGAAGTAAATGGGCCGTGAGCAACATTAATTATATTAAGTTGTTTCAAACGACCCTCAAATTGTTTATCGGGTTGAGCCAATTAATCGAGTGTGTTAATAAATATTATAATCATCGGCCGAAGCCTATGAAATCTAATTCGACTATCCAACACTATTTAACATCATTGCCCAGGATTATTGGGTATCAAAAAAACCCAACAGTTCATTCGAGTAGCAAAAAGATAACTTTAAAAATAATATTTTTGAATTTCCCTAAGCAAAATAATAGTTTTAAATTTGACAGATAGTTACCATAGCACTCGCGATACGACAATTAAACCTTCCTGGGGGAGAATTCTTATTCCCACGATTGATGGGAAATAATTTTTCTTTTGCTAGAAACCGTGGTCTAACATATGCATTATCTTTCAATACCTATGGATATTTTATGTGAGGAATAAACCATTTGTACCGCCCCCTCACAAATATGCGGGCCCCATTTGTTATTTAATAATTTGAACCGAGGTCTCATCCAAATGATGTGAGTAGTAGGTAAACGGTTAGATAAACCATTATGTACGTATAACCCGGTCCTTTATGTGATACGCATATGTCCTACATTTGGTCTGTATAATAAATCAAAAATGCTGAACAAACGGGGATTTGACAGCTTATGAACAAATAGGGGAAAAAATTGGGTGATTTGACAGCTTGTGATTGAGTGGTTTTATGTTTTTTTTCTCAATTTTCAATGAAAATCTACGAAGTGTTAGCTGGAAAAAAAAAACTGTTTGTCATTGACTGTAGTTGTGTAGTATGATTGACGACAAATACCTTATTTGTTAAAAGTAAAGGTATTTTAATACTCTTGCTGACTACTTATTGTACACCTCTCGAGTGATTTCATTTTATGATGGTAGACTCAAATTTAACAAATTCATCTTCTCCCCTTGTATGTGCAGACAAATCAATATCATCCACGTTTGGTATGGATTAAAATTTAATTTAAGTCAAAGTAAATATTTAATTTTAATCAAATATTTTATGGGATCCATAACTTTTCAATCATATATTTTATCAACTTTTTATTAACATTCACTGAAAATTTAATTTTTAATCCCCACTAAATATAGGCATAATTTCATTGACCAAATAATGTGCTTTTATTTAGTCAAAGATATAACTTTGAAAGATCATATTTTTAACCAAAAGGATACTATGAGCATTATCGAGTATCAATTCACTGTTGTCGGTCCCTCCTTTGCACAAAACATCCAAAGGGCATATTATTAAGAAATATGTTACAGTCCTCACTTACACAGTGGAGGAGGGTACAAAACGGAAAAGCCCATCAAAGCCGAAACGACTCTTACATAACAGAAACCATAGATGAATCATGACGATCAATCACATTTTTCTTCTCATCTGACGAACAAGAGTTCCTCACCGCGGTGAGCTCATAAGGTTTTGTATCCGTAGCCAACCACTGCTCTACCGTGAATAGTTTCTGGGCACATTGCTAGTGGACTCCAGTCGTCGTCACCTCCACGTACTTACAATACCAACCGTGGTGCGGGCCAGTCCCATCGGACGTCAAGTTCATTACACAAATTGACCCGGTCAAACATGGGCCCCTCCCACTAAAGACGTCCAAATTCCCTCTCTCAAAATAGTTATAGCTTGGGCCCATAAGCCCGCCCCATGCCTCAAGATTTTTTATCCGGATCCCATATCCATTAGCATCGTAGAGAGTCAAGGTAATCTTGGAATCAGTCCCGGCTTTTATGATTGATCCGGTCCTCACATACACCGTGTAGACACAATCAACATCATCCTACATTTTTCACAAGTCCAATCCCGATAAGAAAATTAACTTTCTATGCATAGTACTCGATATATCTAAACTCGTTATACTACTCAAGTTCCATAAGATAAACGATTACATATGCAATTTGAAACATTTTATTACTGAACACGTCTAGACAATATAATAAAATCAAATAAAGGAAAAAGAATACGGTTATTTTGAAGTATCAAAAATAAATGCTGCTTCATTAAAATATTGTTAGGAAAATTCAGTGGGAAATGAAGGAAAAAGAATACAGCTACTCCCCCTGATATTAATTGCTGAAAATATTTGAGTCGACTCATTCCAATTTGATTAACTAATTTCTTCAATGTAGATATTGACAGTGCTTTGTGAACAAATAAGGCACAATGTTACTTGAGCGAATTAGTCGGTAGTTGATATCGCTATTCTTCTGAAATTCATGTGTATGAAAGAATTTTGGAGAAATATGTTTTGTCATGTCACATTTGTTATAATCTCATTTGAGTTGTGCAATACAAACACATTGTTTTCATACAAAATTTTTGGACTATCTTTTGTTAAAATCGGCCCGCATGATGCTTAGATATGATGGGTTATATTTCTCAACCATACACATTCTCGGTCTGCTTCATGGATTGCAATAATTTCAAAATAATTTAAAGATGTTGCTGTCAATGATTGCTTCACAAATCTCCATGATATAGCTGTTCTTCCACGTGTAAACACATACTCTGTTTATGATTTAGTCTTATGTGAGTTAGAGAGATAACCTGCATCTGCATATCCTACTAAACCAGTTCCCAATTTTTGAGAATAAAATACTTCCAAATTAATAGTACTTTTTAGGCAACGAAAAATATATTTAAAATTATTCCAATGTCTTTTGGTTGGTATAGAGTTATATTTTACAAAAATATTTACATAAAATCTATGTCGGGTCGAGTGCAATTTATAAGATAGATTAATACTCCAATTGCACTAAAATATGATACTCTAGGACCAAGAACCATTTCTCCATCTTCAAATGGATGAAATGGATATTTTTTCACATCAAGTTATCGAACAACCATAGGTGATACCGATGAATGTGCATTATCCATATAAAAATATTTTAATTTTTTTTTTGTATATGTAGAATAATGAATAAATAATCTTTTTGCTAAATGTTCAATCTACAATCTGAGATAAAATTTGGATTTTCCCAAATTCTTGTTCTCAAATTCATTTTTCAAATAATCATTAGTTTTGTTAAGCTCTTCAGGAGATGCACTTAAATTTAAATTATTAACATAAATAGCCACAATTGCAAATACAATATCTGTTTTCTTTATGAAAACGCATGGGTAGGCATCATCATTTTTATAACTATCATTCAACAAATATTCACTGAGACGGTTATACCACATGCATCCAGATTGTTTCATTATGTTAAAAGTTGTGCACTACACATTACGAATTTATTTTTCTCATTTCATTTTCGCATGAGTATATACCTTTTGATTTTTTTACTACAAGTCCAAAAAATTCATGTTTCTCTAGTAAATTCAATTTAGGATTGCGTCCCTTTTATTTGGTCAAACATTACTACGCTTGATATATTTTGATGCATTTATTTCAATTTCTCGCGATTTATATATGATATAATATATCATGTACAAAATTGTTGTCCACGACTTTTTCTTTTTCGATTCTATTTCCAACTCCATAACGATATAATTTATTTAGATATCTCAATTTTCAACATATCAGGTACCTGAATCACTTTCGAAATTTTATCATTTGTTATGTTTAAATATTCATCAAGAGTATATGCTTCCTTATAATGAGATCGTCTTTGCTAATTACTCTATTTTCATTTGAAGATTTTTTGTATTAGAATCGTATACCATCACGCTTCAGGCGTGCAATAGATATATCACATATAATGCTACCAAATTGTCCTCTTATGACATCAATTCGTATTGAAGCATTTAAAATTGACGCGTGAGATATTGTTTATTTATTTGATAAGTAACTGCATCTAAACAAATTATATTTCGAACTTCTGGTTCGAATAATATTTTGTGAGAATTTAAATGATGATGCATTTATACATTATTTTCAACTTCTTAATTGCTCCCTCTAACATTGAAAAAATTGTCTAATCAAATTGACAATCATTTTTTTAGTGTTATAAAATGTCACCCATTTAGGATAAGGGCTTAAACAATGCATTTATTCTTAGCATTATTACTTTTTATTTAGGTGCAATGTGGTGGATTAATTGCACTACCAAATAATTCAATGAAGAAATTGGACTCTAACCATAAGTCAATTATAATGGGAAAACTATGATATTGACATGATACTTAATAGAATTCCCTAAACGAAAATGGGAAGTACTTTGTTTTCAATTAAATTAATTGGAGACATTTAACAAATAAAATTGTTAAATCATTTATCGACCTCTCAACTAATACTTATTAAAATGTTGAGATTTATATCTGCTAGCATTAACAAGAACAGTCTTGATTACATAATTTGAAAATTATGCTCATAACTTGAGCAATAATTTCGCAAAATCAGGTTGCGAACGCCACACAATCATTTAGTACTTGTATCAAATCTATTAGATACAAATAATATTTAGATGGTCAATATGGTGGGTGACAGGGCTCCATCTATCATCATAATTAATTTTCAGAAATATAAAGAATCAAATCCATATTTTAACTAGTGATATTTAATATCAATTGTCGATAAAGATAACAAATGGTATATAGGAATTTATTCGATTGAAGAATCTTCTGGTTCTTCATTGAATATCCATTAAATTTTTTTAATTTCGTATCATTATTGATCCAGTTATGGTCCAATTAGTCATTCCAAATAATAAAATTAAATTGAACTTTTGGTTGAATATAAGATATAATTCAATTATTCAATCTCAAAAAATATGATTAAACGTTATATAATCATATATTATTTAAGTAGTCAAACTAATCGATGTTCTCATAACATTAGCTATATGTTCTCATTTAGGGATAAACATGAATTCAAAATTATATATTCTTCGAAACATGTGCAGCGTCGAAAGCATGTTTTTTTTTTTTAATTGTTCATTCAAAAGCAATATGTAATATTCTTCTAGAATATTGTAAATTATAATTCAAGCTCTCTGAAAACAATCAAGTATTATTATAATAAATTATACAAAAATTTACTCTTCAGGAGTAAAAATATAATTTATGTTATTATACTTTTCGAGAACAAGTACATATAATTAGAATATTAATAATAATTGTAATGGGCTATTTGAGATCACATTATATTTTACTATTACTTCTTCAAGTGCAATAGATCAATATTCTTCTGAATATAGAAAATTTTATTGTCATACTCTTTAGGAGTAATAACATATTATTTTTTATAGTAATAAATTATGTAAGGACTTACTCTTTAGGAGTACAAACTTAATTTGATGTTAGATCTTATATCATTATGCTCTTCGAATAGAATAAAATCTAATCGAAACATCAATATCTAAATACGTATGTAAAAGAATTGATGCGTATAAATAGAGTAATTTAATATGTGATTTTGCATAGAGCAATTAATATTCTTTTTTAAAATATTGAAAACATCGTGTTTTTTAAGGAACATCAACACAATTTTTTTAATATTAAATTGTACTTTCTTCAGGAATAAAACGAGATATATAATTTTCAAAATTATAAATACAATATTCTTCTGAAATATTGGCATTAAATATTCGTTCTACCTTTCGAACTAAACAATATAGTATTAAAATATGTGCTCCTACATGAGTAACAATAAAATATTCTTCTATAATATTTAAATAATATGTGTTGCGTTTCTTTGAGAATATAGTTTTAAATAATTATAATTTAAATTATGCCTTTGTCAGGAGCATAGAGCCAGTATTCTTCTGAAATATTGAAATTATAATATCAAGCTCTTAATGAACAAATAATATTCTTTTAGAAAATTAATAATGTCATGCTACTTCAGGAACAACAAGATGATACATTATCAATTTAAAATTTATGAAAGAAAGTCTAAATATATTTAATCAGGTTAAAAAAATATTAATTATCATATAAATAGGATATTGATTTATATATAAAATTAATTACAAACATACATTAGGAAAAAATCTCCATATTTAGAAGTTAACAAAATTGACTAAGGGGGATGTATTCAATTGGAACTTTTGAAGACTTTGATGGTCTTTTTTTAAGTGATGACTTTTGTGGATTTCGTGAATTTTTTATAGATTTGTATGGAATTAGTGAAAGTCTTTCGTAAACTTTTATGAATTTTCATTTTAAAACTTTTATAGATTTTTGTGGAATTCAAAAAACTTTTGAAAACTTTCATTTGAAATAGAATTCACGTAGATCTGGTGTGAAATTCTCACATATAGGGCGTTAGTTCCCACAATTCCCCTTCTTCTTCCCATATAATAAAAAAAACTTGGAAAAAATATAAATTTAAGACCTTAATTAAATAAATAATAATAATAATAATTATATATGATTCAATATTATTAGTATAGTAACTTTTAAAAATAAATAAAAATCAATATATTTAAATTAATTATAAGTTTCTATATAAACTTTTATAATTTAATTAAAAAATAGATTTTTTTCACAAAAAAAAATTAATGAAAAAAGGAAAAAAAAAGTTAAAAGAATCTAATTTAATTTTTCATAGAAAATAGAGATAAATAATAAGAGAGAGAAAGAAAGATAAATGAAATATAATCAATTAAAAAAAAATTCGATCAAACATGTCCATAGAAGGTTAAAAGAAAGAAAATTTGATTTTTGATTTTTTGGTGAAAGTTCCCAAAATCTCGTGATTTATGAGGGACAAATTTTAAAATCTTAGATAAGTACTTTCTGCTTAAAAGTTAGTACTCTAGAGACTTTTATAAAAGTCTCTAGAAGTCATTAACATTTGAATACCCTAAGACTTATAGAGACTTCTAAAAATTTTAA